CAACAACCACAGCCGGGGTTACCTCATGAGCAGGACGGACCGGTGAGCGGCAGCCAATCAGAAGAGATGACACGGTCCCATGCACAAGAAGAAGTCCAGAGTGGAGTCGGCAGCACTGTAGAATAAAACAAAAGAGAGTAAGGAAGATTGTTGTGACTTTTAAAGACACAGTGTGTTATATATTGCCGCACTTGAAACTAATCAAACAAACCGCAGACTAGGTGTCAATTTTGAGTACACTAGGACTCTCCCTTGAACTCTCACGCACAATAATAATAATAATAATAATTCATTACATTTATATAGCGCTTTTCTAGGCACTCAAAGCGCTTTACATTGTCAGGGGGTATCTCCTCATCCACCACCAGTGTGCAGCATCCACCTGGATGATGCGACGGCAGCCATAATGCGCCAGAACACCCACCACACACCAGCTTACTGCTGGAGAGGAGACAGAGTGATGAAGCCAATCAGCATATATGGGGATTGTTAGGAGGCCATGATGATCAGAGGTCAATGGCCAAATTTTGGCCAGGATGCCGAGGTCACACCTCTACCTGTGATTTTTAATGACCACAGAGAGTCTTGGGCTACAGTCTTGGGCTACAGGGTGATATGGCTGCCGGACAATGACATTATGATTCCTAACACGTCAATAAACAACATGGGGTAAGGGCTTATTTCTGCTGAGAGAGGCACAAAATTAGAATAAGATAGTGAATATTTAAAGTAATTTCAAACTTCTTTTGAATACAGTATTTTTCAAATATTCACTACTGTTCAAAAACGTTTAATACTTTGAGAAGTTTCTTCTGCTTACCAAGGCTGTATTTATTTGATCTTAAACACAAAAAATGGTAATATTGTGTAATACTATTACAATTTTAAATACCTGTTTTTTTATTGTAATATATTTTAAAATATAATTTATTTCTGTGATGCATAGCTGAATTTTCAGCATCATTACTCCAGTCTTCAGTGTCACGTGATCTTCAGAAATCATTCTAATATGATGATTTGCCGCTAAAGAAACATTTATTTCTCATTGTTGAAAACAGTTGAATTTTTTTCAAAAGAACAACATTAGTTTGAAATAGAAATCTTTTGTAGAAATAATAAATGTATTTGCCAATATTGATCAATTTAATGCATCCTAGCTATCAGTTATACACTTTATAAGTTTTATTTTTCAGTAAAAAAAAAAATATATATATATATAATAAAAACTAATTTTTAGCTAAATATTTTTTGTTACATTGTTTTAGTTCTACCCAGTATGGCTGCAGGTTTAAAACAGGAAAAGGCAAAAGAAACAGTATAGAATATGTAAAGAAAAGCAGTGGGTGCGCTTCACTAAAGAGACAATTCTCTAGACTAAGATTAGTTTTCACACTATCTGAAGGAGCCGCTTTCACTCACACTCTACCAGAAGAATGACAGAATCTCTTCTGAACCTCAGAAGACAGCGGTTTCACAAGAGCATGTGGATGGGAAGTGAATATTTCCTCCGGAGCTCCAAAGAAAGAAACAACGACACACAAACGTGCAGTCAAAACAGCCACGTGCCCACGAGTCAAAGCGCAAACTTGCACTGTCCAAAACCTAGTCCAGTCATTTATTTTCTCTAGAAAAGGAGTCACATTTGTCACATTCTTCACTTATTCCAGCTAGTTCTGTTACTGAACGGAGACCCCAGGAGCCAAACCCTTCTCAGGAAATGAACTCGACTGGTCTAAACCAAACAAACACACTCACACCATAACAAACCAAGACAGCAAGATAAAATAAAGAAATTTATATTTCTATGACAATTCAAAGTTAAATCTCACCCAAAATGTGAGAATGCAGCAACTTAACATGCAAGTTTATAGACTAAGTGCTAGTGTAGAGAAAAGATGAGATGTCATTGCAAGGGGATGGGAAGTTAGGCTAATGTTTTACTTAAAGATTATGAAGGCACATGAATTAAAAAAAACAAAAAAACTTTTATTATATTGCAGTGTTTAAATTGTCAATTCGGATGTGATGGGGACTAGAACATTTACATTTTAAGAAATTAGGACAGCCATAAATATCAGTATTGCAATTTTACAGTTGTAAAAAGATATATAAAATTTTATACTACTACTAATTATTATTTTATTTTATAAGTATTATCTTATTTTAGTTATAATAAAATTATTATTAATATTATTGTTGTTGTGAATGTGATATTGATATTTTAATCATGTAATAAATAACTAATAAATGCACTACTACTACTAATAATAACAACAACAATACATTATTATTACTATTATATAATCATGTTGGTATATAAATTACAAAAATCTTTGGTCAGCCCTAAAAACAAGCACAGCAAAAATCACTACACAACAACAGCACACCTCTCCTCAACCAGACACATTACTTGAGGAATCATTCATGTCTGAAACACAAATATTGCGGCATGTGTTAGTGTTAGTGTTACACACTAAAGTTCAATACTAAGTTCTAGTGGTTTGTTTAGATCACCAACTATGAGCCTATATAGTAATGAAAGAAAAAAGAAGAATGTGAGATTTTACCGAGATTTTGTCCACACAATCAACACAAGACACACAAGAACAAAGTCTGAGCTTACCCTCCATGCCTTGCTGCTTCTGTGTCAGCATAGAACAGGAGAACAGGGAGAAAATGAAAGAAATGAAAAGGGGTAAAGCAGTTCAGAGTGGAGCAATTCCAGAGCAATTCTCCTCCCTCACCGAGCACCAAACACATGCCTGGGTTTCCGCTGAGCTCTCTCTAGTCCCTCATGACGATGGTGATTCACTGGAATAAACTGTGGTGTAAGTGTGAATAACAGAGCAAACACTCACCTTCCGGATCACTGCAGGAATGAAGGAGGATCCACGTCAGCCGGACGACTTTTATCAGGCCTCGAACTCCTGAGACAAAGAAGAGTTCTGTTAGGAGAAATGCTACCTGTGCCCAACCAGAACCAGGAAGTGAGAATCTCATCGGTCAGCACACACACACACACACACACCATAAACTTTCTCTCAGGCAGAAAAAAATAACGTTATCTTTTTTTCATTTTCACTATACATATAGTAACTATACAT